GTCCCTGCTGTGTTAGGCAGGGCTCTCTCAAGAAGCAAACGCTGGACACTCTGGTTCTATGGCTGTAAGAGGGTAGGTTTGCACAGTCCACACAGCAGGACAGAGGGCTCAGTTCAACTCACTTTCATGGAACACTTAATGGAATGAGAGTCCTTCAACTCCCATGGGTTGCTTGGTCCAAGGTGGACGGAGCCTGTCTCCTTCCGGCAAGACAGGCAGAGGCCGCCATATGCAGCAAACAGCAGGGTGGGCCAGTCAGTAGCTCCGAAGCTTAGCGAGTCAGGGATCCCAGATGGGATGTCAAACGTAAGCAATGTAGGGCAACCGCATCCACCAGCCTCAAGCTCAAGTGATGTACGTACCAGCAGCGTGGAGAAGCAGGTCTTGAAGGAGCCTCAAGCTGTAGTGACCCGGTCCATGGGTTGGCTTGGCCCACAGGTAGTTTAGCACATAGGTTGAGGCCGCGAACTAGCTAAAGCAGCAGCACGCTGGTCTGATCACCAGCGAGCATGAGGAAAATGGGATGCTGGCTGTCTTCATTTATCTCAGTCACCCTCCAATCAGCTGTGACCTGATTAAACTCTGCCCACACGTTCCTATTGGCCTAGTTGCCACAGCAAACCTAACTATGACAGTCCACCCCTTGCCAACTTGGCACCTGTACACACTTCTTTAGCCATATCAATTTCTAGACATTAATGAAATCACACACTTAACATCATACAGCTACCATCCGTACACATGGAAACACACGGAATCTATTGGTATCTGGTATACTGTACATGAACAAAGGAAAGATCCAATAAGCACATAGAAAAGAGAAATACTGACAATCACAAACCTCACTTTTGCCATTGATCACATGGTCATAACTGATAGGTAGGACTACCTTCTACCATTACCCATTCGGTGGTGATCAGGCTTAAGACCCACCCTGCAGGGCCTCGGCCTCCTTAACACGGCCAGGAACCCGCCCTCCCAGTGGCAGCACAGCGGGAGCCGAGGTCAGGTCTGACACACAGCCAGCACCCTGTATGACAGCAGGTCTGCCCACAAGGTCTCAGGGAGCCGCTTGGAATTACAGAAGCAGGTGGTTGGGCTCCCTGGGAGCGGCAGTGGGTGGGATCTGCTGACTTGGGGGTGAGCAGCCAGCGCTCTGACTGTTGTGCAGCCAGAGGTGGGTTCCAGCCCACATTTGGGGAGGACAGTGAACCCCCCTGCCTGCCAGAGTACTGAGCCCTGTTGTCCGGAGCTCCGAAACAGGCAGACCTGCCCAGCTCCGGCAGGCTGCCTGTAGCAGGGATGGAGGGTGTGGTTGGAAGATGTTTCCTGGCACAGAATTCGGGGTGGCAGGGTCGGCATCTCCTGGGGGGCTGGCTGGTGGGCTTGGGGTGCTGTCCCAAGTCACCTGACCAGTGGAGATGTCACCAGCTAGTGTGTGGGAGTGTGTGTATATATATGTGCGTGTAGGTATATATGTGTCTGTGTATGTATGTATGTGTGTGTGTTTGTTTATGTCTGTGTGTGATGCGGGTGTGACGCACATGTCCCAGCCTGGTCTCAGCCCTGACTTCCTCTACCTCTTGCTGACCCTGAAGCATGGCGAGGTCCTGCCTCTGAAGATCGTCACCTACGCCGCCCTGTGCTTGTCACTGATGGCCCTGCTGGTGGCCTTCGTCCTGCTGACGCTGGTCCGGACGCTGCGCTCCAACCTGCACAGCGTCCACAAGAACCTTGCCGCTGCCCTCTTCTGCTCCCAGCTGGTCTTCGGGGTTGGGATCAACCAGACGGAGAACCCGGTAAGGCTGCCGCCACCTAGGTCCCCAGCAGGCTGCCCGCCCGGGACGATGGTGAGACCTCACCTGCGCGTGGGCGCTGCGCTCATCACAGTGTGATGCTGTGGGGCCAGCCGTGATGCTGTGGGCAGTGGCAGCTCGTGGTCCTGGGGCTGATCGCTGGGCCTCAGGGACATTGAGCCCCATATGGGTGTCTGGGGAGCCTTGCCAGGGGTCGGGCCCCCTCTTTCTGAGGCAGACACCGGGCAAGACCCCAGTCCTGTGAGGGGTGCCCATCCCCACCCGACATCTGGAAAATCAGCTCAGCTCCCTTGAAAGCTAGGCCTCCTGCAGTGGGGTGGCACCCACAGTAGGGATCCTGGGGTACACGGCTCAGGAGGTCCAGCAAGCGAGTTGTGTTTTTCCTGGATGGCAAGGCTCAGAACCCCTTGTTCCCAACCCCTGCCTTTCAGCTTGCATCAGGGCAGGAGGGGAGAAGGTCAGTTCGGGGGGGGGAAGGGGGACTCTTGATCGCAGACACAGGTAACCACAGCCTCACGCGCCAACCCTGCCCTGCAGCTCCTGCCCCCACTCGTCACCCCCAGGAAGCACGCTCCCTGGAGACCTGTTTCTCAGGGTGAAATGTAGAGGTGTGACCCGGAGCCCCCGACAAACAACAGCGGACTCACTCGGCTTACCGTGCAGCCCCTTACCCAGCTGGCGGTTCTGGCAGCTCCACCCGGGACCCCGCCCAGGTGGCTCCCCAACCCACCCACCCAGGGCAGACTTGGGAAGTAGTGAGCGCACTGTGACTTCTGGCCCCCAGGTCACCCGACACCGGGCAAGCCGGGTCCTGCTCTCTGCACTGCCGCTCACACACTGTGCAAAGTGAACACCCACTAGGTGCAGGCGTCTGCCGCTGCTGTGTTCGCCACCCACCTCGGGGGACCCCTGTGGCCGGAGCAGAGTCCCTGGGTGGGGTGAGTGGGTAGAAAGCTCAGCTGCTGACCAGGAAGCTGGAGGTTGAAGTCCATGCAGAGGCAGCTTAGTAGAGTGACAGTCTGCTTCAGAAAAATCAGTGTGTATGCCTGTGTGTGTGTGCACGCGTGTGCGTGTGATGTACATGTGACATACCACGGGTCCTACATGAAGTAGTGACCTAAGAACCCGCTGGCTGACTGTCATACATCCATGTGCGGTGACTCCAGGGAGCTCAGAGACCACCCTGGCCACTGCCCCCCCCCCCAATCCCCGGCCTCCCCAGGAGAGCAAAGAGCCAAGAGTCTCAGCTGTGCCTTGCTGGGGGCTGGGCACAGTTGATCACAACACCATCTACTGCTGGCATGGCCGCCACCTTGAATCTACCCCAGACCTACCCAGGACCACCTCCATCCTGCCCTCAGGGAACCCACCTTCCAGCCCTGGGCCTGACACGTCAGGTGTCCAAATGGCGCCCTCTTGGTGGGTGGGGCACTGTGTTGGGTGAAGCGGAGGACAGGGAAGGGTTGAGCAGGGCCACCCCTTTGCCATCCAGTGGAGGCGTCAAGGAGGCGTTGGGACCAGGTGATCCAAAGACGAGGCACAGTGTCCGCCTCCTGCAGACTGAGGAACGGCTTCCAGGGCCACGAGCAGGGATGCAGTTGAGAGCAACCGTCCCAGCAGTGGAGGGAAGGGAAGCCACCAGAGGTCAGAGAGCAGGCAGGACCGTACCTTCACAGGTCTGGTGGGTGGAGCTGAAGCTCAGAGCCTGAGGCCGGGCAGCAGGTATGAGGAGAAGGGCGAGAGTGAGGTCCAACCGGGCACCCAGGAGAAAGGAGTGACCAAAGATCCCTATAAAGAAGAGTGGACAGGAGACCAGATAGATGGTGGGTGGGTGGATGGATGGATGGATGGACGGACAGACGGACGGACGGATGGATGGATGAATGGGTGCATGGGTGGATGGATAGATGGATGGGTGGATGGATGGATGGATGGACGGACGGACGGACGGACGGATGGATGGATGAATGGGTGGTTGGGTGGATGGATAGATGGATGGGTGGATGGATGGATGGGTGGATGACAGGTGACGGGATAGGTGGGTGGATAATGGGTAGGTGGACAAATGGATGGACCAATGGATGAGATGTGTGTATCACAGCTTGAGATGCAGATAAATGGACTGACAGCATGTGGACGAGGTTGGACTCACCTACTGGGGGCTGCCCAAGGTTCCAGCTGGAGTGTGGGCGGCCCCCGTCAGTACAGAGTGGTCCCGTGGGGATGGGCAGGGTCCGGGAAAGGAAGCAGAATGAACGATAGGACGAAGGCCGCTCTGCCTGGCTGGTTGCAGGTGTGGGACCTCTCAGGACCGCCCTGAAGTGGGCAAGCCTCCCGCCCCCCAACCCAGGTAAAGATGGCGTATGGCAGCCCTGTGACCTTCAGAGGGTTCTGTTGCCAGGCACCGGGGCTTCTCAGCAGGGACTTGGGTCCAGTGCCACCCAAATCCTCAAGCATTTGTCAAGTGAAACCCTGATGCCCTCAGGGGGTGCCCCCCAGAAACCATTGCACTGCCCCTCCCCCAGCAGGGTAAACTAGGGCATGGGGTCTGCTTCTTGATCAGGCAGGTGGGGCGTTGGCTGCAAGCCTTCAACTGTGTTCTGGAATTGGTTCAAGAGAGGGGAAAGTGGGATTGGGGACAAGGAGGTGGCACTTGGGAGCCGAGGACAGGCTGTCCCATGGCTGGGAAGCAGTGAGTCATACACCTGCCCACGAGGGGAGAGGAGCAGGCGCCGGCACACCTGGGCTTGGCTGGGTGCCGGGCTCCCTGTGAGCTCCCAGCCACACCCCACCAGGCCAGGCGTCCCCTGTGCCCAGACGGCCTGCAGGCAAGAGCTTGTCGGCAGGCCTTCCGCTGGCAGGGGCGGGCACAGAGCATTGCCTAGGCGTGCACAGCCCCGTGAAACTGGAAGTTGGGGTTCAGAGTGCGGTTTTGTGGGTTTGTTCTGCACCGTCGTTTAGGAAACAGGCCTCCTGTCTGTCTGTTATGACCTCCCCCCACCTCCTGGGAGTGCTGGAGTGTCTGATGTAGGCGGCCAAGCTGGCCACCTCGCCCCTGCCCGTTCCCACTCTCTCTGGCCTGGCCTGGCGTCCAATCCCAAGGCCTAGCCTCAGTCATGGTCTTGCTGGCACCTGCTTTGACTCTGGTTGGAAGGCATTTGATAGCTGTGATGCTAACCATATGGTGGCCTAGTGGCTATGCCGTGGCTGCCAACCACAAAGTCAGCAGTTGGAAACCACCAGCCATTCTGAAGGAGAAAGACTTGGTTTTCGACTCCCACGAAGAGGGACAGTCTCAAAACCCCACAGGGGCAGTTCTGCCCTGTCCTATGGGGTCGCTGTGAGTCGGCATGGACTCGGGGCAGTGAGCTGACCCCTGAGTGGTGCACACAGTTAAGCGCTTGGCTGCTGACAGATGGGTGCTTTGAGCGCACTCAGGGGCCTGGCTCTCGGCTTTAGAAAGATGGTGACCTTGGCAACCTTTCTCAGGCCCCCCTGGAGATCCCCTGATGGGAACAGCTTGTCAGGTGAATGCTAAAACAGCCCCTTAGATGCCTCTGGCTCCTGGCTACTGGGAGGCACGTGGGCAAGGCACATGGAGTTACCTGAAAGCTCAAGCCAGACCTCCCCTGACTCTGTTACCCACCTGGCCCGCCAATGGCCAGGGCTGAGGCATCCCCTTCCCGGGAGAATGTGTCTGAGTGGGGCCCCAACTGAAGGGAAGTGGCCAGGGGCTCTCCTGGTCAGACTATCTGGAACCCAGAGGGGAGCCAGGGCAGAACAAGTGGACCATTTAAGTCCCGCCAGGTCCTTGTAGAACAGTGGTTCTCACAACCTTCCTAATGCTTCGGCCCTTTCATACAGTTCCTCATATGGTGGTGACCCCCAACCATAAAATTATGCTACTTCATCACTGTAATTTTGCCACTGTGATGAATCAGGTGACCCCTGTGAAAGGGCCGTTAGACCCCCAAAGGAGTTGCGACCCACAGGTTGAGAACCACTGTTCTAGAAGGACCAGGAGAGACTGTGGGGATGGGGGTGGGGGCTGGTGTCTCTAAGTCTGGAGCTAAAGTCTGTGGACAGATTTGCTAGAAGGACCTCAGAGACTGCCGAGAAGGCACAAGGCCCCAGGTCTCCTCACAATGCCCCATTCTCCCTCAGCCTTCCTAAGGTTAGGGAGACCCCCAGGGCCCAGGGTGCACTGTCCACAGCCGCTCCACAGAAGCCAAGTCCATCTCCCGGGGGATACACACCAGCACAGGGTTGCTGGCCCTGGAGAGAACAGAAGGTTCCGGAAACTAACCTGTTCTTACCCAAGAGTAAGGGGCACAAAACCAGGAGCTCCCCGCCCCATCCACACCACAGTGCCCTGGAGACCAGGGCTCGGCTGCTCAGACACAGGCAAGAGTCTAAGGGCCGCCCCCCTACCAGCATGCCCACCCCCACAGTACTTTTTCATTCTAAACAAAAGGCCAGCTCGGAAAAGCATAGAATCATCCAGAAGTCAGCTTGCCACATTATCTGGCACAAACGAGCAGTTTACCACCCGCTCCCAAGACAGGCTGAGTCGGGTAGTGGCTGGCTGGACATGAGGCCCCTGAGTGGGACTGGGACCCCGTGATGGGCAGGAAGGGCCATCTCACTTGACCTTCCTTCTTGCAGGCCTTGGGGGAAGGGGGACCTCCGGCTGGGTGGGGCTGCAGCAGGCAGGTGCCAGGGTGGAGTGGGGCGCCCTGACGGGCCTGCGCTGACTGCCCCGCAGTTCGTGTGCACGGTGGTGGCCATCATCCTGCACTACGGGCACATGAGCTCCTTCGCCTGGACCTTCGTGGAGGGCCTGCACGTCTACCGCATGCTAACCGAGGCCCGAAACATCGACACGGGGCCCATGCGCTTCTACTACGTGGTGGGCTGGGGTGTCCCCGCTGTCATCGTCGGTAAGTTCAGGCCGCCAATGGCCCAGAGACCCCAGTACCAGCCCTGACGCTTAACCAGCCCCCCTTCTGCACAGACAGATGGTCCCCACACTCAGCCTCTGCTTCCAGCACCCCACAGAGAATTCAGTGTCTGCCCAGTGGGTTCTGGGGTGGGAGCTGGAGGGCTGGGAGCTGGGTGGGTGAGTAGGTAGATGGGTGGATAGATACATGTGTGCATGTGTGTGCGACTGGTTGGATGGATGGGCTGAAGTGTGGATGGGTGGGTGGGTAGCTGTGTAGATTAGTAGTGAGCGCTTGGACAAGTGTTTGGAGGGGAGAATAAATGCATGTATTTGTGGGTGGGTGGCTGGGTGAATTGGTGGGTGTGAGTCGATCATCGGTATATGGATGGATGGGTGACTGTAGGGAGGTAAGTGTGGATGGATAGGTGGACAGGTGGGTGAATGGATGGATAGGTGTATGGACAGGTGAATATATATATGTGTGTGTATTGTGTATGTGTGTGTGTACATGCATAGATAATGGGAAGGTGGATGGATGAAGAATGGATGAACAGACGGACAGATGGATGGGTGGTTGGATGGAGAATAGGAGGATGGGTGACCGCTGTCCCTGGACCATGTGAGCCCGTCCCTGGGAGTACCTTGAAGGGGTGCACACTGCCCACATGGACAGCCCTGTCACAGGCCCCACAGGAACCTTGCCTGGAGGGAGCCGTGTGGGCTCCCTCGGCCTCAGTGCCCCTCACTGTCCCCTCCCTGTTGTGTCCAGGGCTGGCAGTGGGCCTGGACCCCCAGGGCTACGGGAACCCCGACTTCTGCTGGCTGTCCCTCAGAGACACCCTCATCTGGAGCTTGGCTGGGCCCATCGGGGCAGTGATCATCGTGAGTGCGGCTTGGGGACGTGGGACACAGGGGCCCCCAGCAGGCCACCAGCCCAGTTGCTTGGGCAGCCTAGGGCAGGACGATCCCAGTGCCTAGCGCGGCCAGATCAACTCCCACCCGTCCTCACATTGACTCGGGATGTCCCTTCTGTCCATGGTCCACTGAATGGGCATGCAGGGCTGGGCCAGGGACACTGGGGGACAGCCGTCCACTGCCCCTGGGACCCTGAATTGCCCCAGGCCAGCATGCCCGGCATCTTGACTGCCCTGTTTTCCAGGTCGACACAGGCCTCTTTGTGCTGTCCGCCAGGGTGGCCTGCCTGAGGAAGCGCCACTACTATGAGAGGAAGGGTGTCGTGTAAGTGGGTGACTGCCTGATGGGGGCGGGGTCCACTGAGCCTGGCTGACCCAGAGAGGACTCTGGCCATCCAACCCTCCGCCTGGACCTGCTGGAGAGGGCTTTAGGCCACACCCACGTTGAGGCACCAGGTCCTTTAGGGTCCATCTCTTTCACCAGCCCTCAGGCGTGGAGTGGCCACGCCCCTTACAGGTGGGGAAATGGAGGCAGGGGGCAGGGCAGGAGGTCCCACAGCCCTTGAGGGGTGTTCAATGGGGAAACTGAGGTTGGGGGGAGCAGCAGGACGCTCAGCAGCACCCCCCCACCCGGCCACCCAGCTCCCTGCTAAGGACCTCCTTCCTGCTGCTGCTGCTGGTCAGCGCCACCTGGCTGCTGGGGCTGCTGGCCGTGAACCAGGACGGGCTGGCCTTCCACTACCTCTTCGCTGTCTTCAGCTGCTTACAGGTGGGCGAGGGCGGGGCGTCTGGTGGGACGGGCTTCCTGGGCATCTGGGTGGGGTGTGGCCGGCTGAGCTGGGGGGGCGGAGCTTCCTGTGGGGCGGGATATCTGTGGGGCAGGGCCATATGTGGGTGGGGCACTTGCGTGGGGCGGGGCCATCCAAACTGGGGACGGAGTTTTCAGCAAGGTGGGGTCTAGGGTGGGATAGGCCTGTCTGTGCGGCAGGGGTGGGGCCATGTGAGCCGGGTGGGTGGGGCATCTGCATGAGTGGGGCATCTTCTGTGCCCGTCCCAAGGGGGCAGTCCAGGGACCGGGCCCTCGCTGGCCTAGGACAGGCAGGCTGTACGGTGCCTGTGTCTTTGGTGGCCCAACATGTGGGGGTGATGGCGGAGCCCCCCTACCACTTACCGCCCACGCAGGAAGCCTGTACAGCCCCAACCACCAGGGCACGGTCCGAACTCCTCCGGGCTGCGCCCTGCCTGCAGCTGTGCCCCTGGGGCCCTGGGGTGCCCTGACCGTCCATCCACCTGCAGGGCCTCTTCGTGCTCCTCTTCCACTGCGTGCTCAGCAGGGAGGTCCGAAAGCACCTGAGGGGGCTGCTCTCGGGCAAGAAGCCGCACCCAGACGACTCAGCCACCACGCGGGCCACGCTGCTGACGGTAGGGCCAGGCTTGTCTTTGGGAGTGGCACTGCGCCCCTCCACCTGTGGGCTCCTGGAGCCTGAGAGGCACCTGGCCACCCACCCCCTGGCTGGGTGGGCAGGGGCAGCCTGCTGTGGTCGCTGGCAGCCGAGGTCTCACGGGGTCCAGAACTATGCCACTGACCCGCTGCCCCCCCCCACTGCCCCCCAGCGCTCCCTTGACTGTAACCACACATACAGCGAGGAACCGAACATGTACCGCACGGCCCTGGGAGAGTCCACCGCCTCGCTGGACAGCACCCTGAGGTCAGGCTGTGTGGGGGCCCGGTGCCCACCCCTCTTGTCAGTGTGTGTGCTGTGGCGGTGTGCCCCAGCGCTGAGACCCCCCAACCTCTGTAGGGACGAAATGGCCCAGAAGCACAGCGCACCCTCGGGGCCAGTGAGGGGCAGTCACGGGGAGCCCTCAGCACCCTTTGCCCACAGGAACACCAAGAAGTCCCATGGTAGGTCCCAGCACCCAGTGTCCCCACACCCTGGGGAACAGTGGGCAGCCCTGAGTGGTGGCTGAGCCATTTCATGCTGCAGCGACAGAAACGCCACAGGCGCTCGTGTGTGTGTGTGTGGGGGGGGGGATGTCAGGTGCCATCTCCCCTCAAGTCCCTTCTGCCTCTCCACGCCCCTGACCCCTGCAGAGCCCAGGCTGCCCTCACGATGATCGGTGATCGCCGTCCCTTTGTTTGAGACCAGTGCTGCCGCCACTGTTGTTGGTCACCCCCCCAGGGCTTAGGACAGACAACTCGGATGGCTGGGAATACCGTTGGGGCCAGAGCGGGGTCTGAGCCTGTCTCCTGTCCCCACCGCAGGCCGAGACTCCGACTCGGACAGCGAGCTCTCTCTGGACGAGCAGAGCAGTTCCTATGCCTCTTCCCACTCGTCCGACAGTGAGGACGAAGGTGTGGAGGCTGAGGACCAGTGGGACCCTGCCACGCCCCAGGCCCGTGGCCAAGGCCCTGTCCACAGCACCCCCAAAGGTGAGTGGGCAGACAGGAAGACTGCAGGGTGACCTGGTCACTGGGGTTGGCAGGGGTTGGGTCACACACACACACACACACACACACACACACACACACACACACACACCACCCCCAGGGCCCCCCTGGCAGACCTACAGTAGCCCAGCCGTCTGAGGACCTGCCCTCCCTGCTATCACTGCCAGGCCTGGAGGTCCAGAGTGACCGAGAGAGGGTGGACCCAGAGCTCTGTGGGGCAGAGACCTGAGCGTCGGGCTGGGCCCGGCCCTCTGTTTGTGCCCCAGTGGACCCTGCAGCCAATCACATTGATGCTGACTGGCCGGACGGGAGTCTGGCTGGAAGTGATGGGGAGGAGCCGGGCGAGAAGCCCCGCCTGAAGGTGGAGACCAAGGTCAGCGTGGAGATGCACCCAGAGCGGCCAGCTGGCCCGCTGCCACCTCCACACACAGAGCAGAGGAAAGGTGCCGAAGGGCAAGGGCCCGGGGGTGGTCCTTGTGGTGAGGGTGGGGACCTGGGGCCTCACAGGGTGGGCCCTGCAGTGTGGGTGGAGAGGTCTCCTGCCTGAGACCCGCAGGCGTTGATCCCTCTTGGAGCTGGCCCCACCCTTGGCTCCCGCCTGGAAGTGACCACTCGTCCCTCTCACCCCCTGGCCCAGGCATCTTGAAAAACAGGGTCACCTACCCTCCCCCACTGACCGAGAAGACCCCAAAGGCCCGACTGCGGGACAAGCTGGCCGACGGGGACCAGAGCTCCTCACCGACGTCCTCGCTGGGCTCCCGTGATGGGGGTTCTCGTGCCCCCCTGGACTGCGGTGTCACACTCAAAAGCCCGCCGCCCCGGGAGCCGGTGCGGGAGCACCTCAATGGGGTGGCCATGCACGTGCGGGCCGGAAGTGCCCAGGCCAACGGTGCCGACTCTGAGTGAGTGCTTGGTAGTGGGGCCGGGTGGGCCTTCAGTCACGTAGTTTGGGCCCTGGGTCCTGGGCTCCCTGGGGGTTGGAGTAGCCAGATCCCTGGAGTCTCCCTGAGACCCAGGACTGGGACCTCTCGGCTGAATGCTGCCCGTTCTGGGGTTCAAATCCACCAGCCACTCCAAGGGAGAAAGATGAGGCTGTCTGCTCCCATACAGACTGACAGTCTCAGAAGCCGGTGGGGACAGTCCAGCCATAACAGAGTGGACTCCCTGGCAGTGAGCCTTTAGCTGCTATCACCAGTGCCTTTGAGCTCATTACCATCCCATGTGATGACCACTGAGGAGACTGAGGCCAGAGAGGCCCGCTGCAGGGGTGGACCTGCCCTGGCCTAGCCCAGGGACCTCTCCCTGCCCCCTCCTGGCTCATGGCCCCAGGAACAAAGGGGCCAGGCCTTCTCAGCCGCCTCCGTGTTCAATCAAAGTGGTCTGGCTTCCAACCTTAGAGCCTCCTGTGTGCTGAGGCCGCCGCAGGGGACACATCATTCCAGCCCCGGTGGGCCCAGTGCCAGGGACCTCGTGGTCACCCTGCCCTGCCCTGAGACATGGCTCAGTGGGCAGCAGTGACCCTTGTCACTGACCTTCTGCCGCCTCCTGGCTTCTTCCCACGCACAGAGGCAGTAACGAAACTTCAATTTGAACCATCAGGAAACCCTGAGGTGAGGCCATCACTCCGAGTGGGCAGTCCATGGCCTTCCAGTGAGGCCGGCCCTGGGTGGGGGACCCCCGAAGTGGCAGCCCTGCGGCCTCTGCCAGCCAGGTGCATGAGCCCATCGGACCCCGTGACAAGTGCCAAAGGCCACACAGGCGTGAGGGCGACGTCCTCAGGCGGGACAGAGCTGCACCAGGATGCTGGCCCGCCAGAAAACGCTCATAGCAGGGGGCCACCTGCCCAGGCCGTCACCTGCCAGGGCTCAGAGGCACAGGACAGGCACAGGAAGGGCAAGGGTCCATCCGCCTGAGCGGGCACCCAGGCCCACAGTGGCAGCAACCTCCTGCCTGCATGGCTGCTCCAAGAAGGTGCAGGTGCTTGGAGACCCCGCGGGCTGTTGGGCGGTTTGTACCGAGTGTGGACACAGACACTGTGGACCGGGCGCTTGCCAAAGAGAGATTGCACAGTCGCCCGTGGGCCGAGAACAGACAGCCGGCCGGTCAGAGACTGGGACAGCCTGGCTGCGACGTCAGGACATGGCTGACGGACCTCCGCACCGGCTGCCTCCTGCGCTGCGCTAGTGTGCAGCGTGCTCCGCTCCTCCAGCACCGCGGACCTGGGCCTGTGGACTGGTGACCTGCGACTGGTGACCCTCTAGGCAGCTCCAGGATTGTCACTCCTGAGCCTCGATGACAAGCTTAGCCAGTTAACTCTCAGGCCCTATCGGGCCTCCTGGGCCTCCCAGGCTCTCAGGCCCTATTGGGCCTCCCGGGACCCTGCCCCCTCCCCTCTGCATGGCCAGCAGATGGGCACAGCCTTTCTCCCCTGCTCCCCTTCACACGCGCCCACCTGAGGCCCGGGGCCTCCCCAGGCGTCACACTAGTGGCTGCCAACTTCTCAGCTCTGACGTTCCCAGGACCTAGGGTTGGCTGGAGGCCACCCCCCAGCCCCCTCCATCCCTGGGGCTGACCAATTACTTCTTTTCGCTTCAAATGGCCAATTGTGCCAAGGGACAAAGCCAGAGTCACACTTTTCATGGGTGACCACACTGTCTTGGAAACCCACACCAACCAAGGACCAGCTGGGACTGTCCTGGGCTCGGCAGGCACCCCAGGGGCTGTGGCACAGGGCCCAGAGCCTTTCAGACAGGGTTTCTCTTGGGTTGCCTTTGTTCCCCGCTACGGTGCCCACCCGCCTGAGCAGAAGCAGCTGCTGACGCCCGTGAATCGCGGCAGACCAAGTCCGGGCGCGCACACCGTGCGCTGGCGCTGAGGGCAGTGTATCCCAGTGAGAGCCCGCAGGCTGTGCTCCTGAGCTCAGCTCACGGCAGGATGAGATCAGCATCTGCTCCTCGGCCTCCGGACTTCATCACAAATGTGCCTTCAGGGCGTGCGGCCAGGGGAGGACGCTCACCGCCCAGGAGACGTCTGCTCAGTGAAGAGCCGTCTGTGCTTGTCCTTAAACCTGCCCCTCTGGACTGGCTGCACCCTGCCCCGTGAGGTGTGGTTCCTGTTTGACTGGTTGAGAACTGTTACCAAAAAAACCCAAACCATTGTCTTTTTTTATTAAGACAGAATTTAAACCTATTTTTATGACTTAAAACTTTATGAGAGATTAGACACTGGAGGCTTTTTTTTTAAACAAATGTATATTTATTAATGTTCAGAACACTGGAATTGAGAAGAGTCTACAATAAATTAAGATTTTTGAATTTGTACTTGTGCTGTGCTCTGTTCTCTTCTACTACCCACCCCTCCCCCTTCCTAAGGCAGCTGTGGGGCAGGGGGTGGTGGGGGAGGAACACGTGGGCGGGGTTGGGGGGGCATATACAAGGTGCTGGCGGGACCGGAAGGTCAGTGGTTCAAACCCACCAGGCACTCCGGAGAACGCTGACGCTGTCTGCGCTCATGAAGACTGACTCTGCGGTCGCTGAGTCAGAGGGCAGTGGTCGACAGGACTGTCTTGGGATGCTGAGGCTGGAGGCACTGCTAGACCTTTCTGCCCCCTTCCCTGGGCCCCGGCAGCCTGGATAGACAGGCCCTGGGGTGCGGGGTCCTGAGCAGCTTGGATCTGTGGTTTTCGGTCTTTTGCTGTCCTGGGCGAGCGTTCTGCCAGTATCTCTTCAAATCCTGTCTCTGCACCAGCGTCTTTCTCTTTCCGGGAGTCCGGTGACTTGGGTGGTGGCCCTGTGGTTCAGGTCCGTGGCCCCGAGCTTGCTCCACCCTTTCCCAGGCGTTCGCCCTCCCTCTGCTCTTCAGTTCCCATCGTTCCTGGTGGTTGAGAGCGAGTTTCCCGAGTCCTCCATCCGCCAGCTCCCTACCCAGGAAGAGGCTCTGGGACTGCCGTTCACGGGTCAACGTGAACAGTGGGTCAAAGTGAGCAGCAGCACAGCTAATACCTTTTTTAATTTCCTTTGCCCGCCTGGGCTCCCCTGATGTCCCCTGAGCCGTACGAAGGGCTGGCCTTACGAGCTCTTCTCCTAGTGATTTCTGAATTCCGTCACCTTCCAGAAGCTTCCATTCAGTGAGCGCGCTCCTTCTTACTCTGTCTTTGGAGCAAACGCTTCTCATGCGAATGTTTGGAATCATTTGTCAAGTTCCACAGACACCACCACCCCGCTTTTAAATGTAATCCACATACCCGATTATTTGCCTTTTAAAGTGTTAAACTCCATTGTTTTTAGTATTTTTGCAAACTTGTGCAGTCAAAACCACCATATCACTCCAGACCGTTCTATCAGCCCCCAAATAAACCTGTATCCTCTAGCGGTCCCTCCCCATGACTACTGCACGCTTCCTAACTCCTAGTAGCCATGAAGCTCCTTAGTCTCTCTCAAGATGGACATTTCATGGCATTATCAAGGTCTTCAAGTGCCCTTGCTTTCAGCGAGGTCGTGTCACCTGCCTATCACCGATTATCAATAAGCCTTCCTCCAACCTGATGCTGAGTTCTTCAGTAGCCCAGCTCCTCAGCATGCGGGTGGAGTAAGGATGGTGAAAGCATACAGCCGGCACATGCCTTCCCTGATTCTAAACCACACAAGGTACCCTTGCTTTAATGACGTGGTCTGTGTACAGGTTCTGCTGGGGCACAACGAGGCGTGTTCTGAAACCCCCATTCCTCTCAGCGTGATCCAGAGCTTGTGTTACGCCTCTTTCTGGCGTTCCCTGCTTTCAGCCAAGCCATCTCGCATCAGCAATGACACCCCTTGTTCCACGTCTTCTTCCGCATCTGGTTTGGTTATCTGGTAAGCTTCCCATTGGTGTCCTGCTGCAACCTGCCTTGAATTATCTTCAGCAAAATTGCACGTGCATGTGATCTTAATGATTATTGTGTGGTAATTTCTGCACTCTGTTGGGCCGCTTTTCTTTGGAGTGGACACAAGGCGGCTTTCTTTTAGTCAGGAGGCCAGGTAGCTGTCTCTCAAATTGCTTGGCATAGACAAGCAAGGGCTTCCAGTGCTTCATCGGTTTGTGGAAGCATTTCGATTGGTATTCCATCAATTCCCGGAGCCTTATTTTTCACTAATGCCTCCAGTGTGGAGGGGACATCATGCTAGGTAAGGGGAAGGGGCAGTGAACAAGAGGAAGGTCTTCGACAAGATGGATTAACACAGTGACTGCAACGGGCTTAGGAACAATGGTGGGATGGCACAAGACCAGGTAGTGTTTCCTTCTGCTGAGCATACAGTTGGAATCGGTCGGAACGGATTGGATGGTACCAGGCAGCGGCGGCAGCCACCTCCAGGGCAGCTTGGGCCTCTCCCCTCAGCACCATTAGCCCCACATCATATGCTGCCTCTTGAGGTGGCTGGCTACTGACTCATTCCTCCTGGTAGTGTGTTCCTTCTCTCTTCTTTTGAGGATTCCTACACCTTTAACTATTTTGGCCACAGAATGCTCGGAGATTGCAGCTCGAGGCTTAAGTTTTCCTTCAGTTCTTTCAGCTTGATCTTTGCGGAGTGTGTTCTCCTTTTTTGTTTCCAACTCTAGTTCTCTGCACACGTCATCGGAATAATCGACTGTCTTCTGAAGCCGTCCCTTGAAATGTCTGATTCCGCCCTTTTCACGCCTCTTCCATTTGCTTTAGCTACTCCGCATGCAAGAGCAAGTGTCAGAGTCTCTTCTGAAACCGTTTGGTCTTTTTTTCTTGTCTTTTTAAAGATCTTTTGCTTTCTTCGTGTATGATGTTCTTTTTTTAATAATCATTTTATTGGGAGGCTCTTACGAATCTTAGGACAGTTCACCTTCGATTGTATCCAGCACACGTGTACATATGTTGCCATCTACATTTCCAAAACATTCTCTCCCCCACCCCCAACCATTGTCTTTCTACTTGCGCCCTTGGTGATGTATGATGTCCTCCCACAGTTCTTCAGGTCTCGGGTCATGAATGTTCAGCTCATCAAACCTCTTCTTGAAACAATCTCTAAATTAAGGTGGGAGAGATGCAAGGTTCTAGCCTGGCTTTTGTGGACTTGCTTCAGCTTCAACCTGAGTTTACATATGAGCAATGAATGGTCTGGTCTACATAGAGCAAATTAGTAATTTGCTTATTAGTGATAACCCATTTATTGATAATTACTTTAAGAATCCTTATGCAGCTGCCTCCCCATCCCAGGGGCAGACGTGGCTGGGGGGAGCACAGCCAGAGGATGGATGGATGATGCCGAGCAGGGCAGTGCCAGGGGTGGAGTGGACAGGGACCACAGAGGTGGCAAGGTGGAGGGAGAAGCCTGTATGGCCACTCTGGGCCCCGCGGGTCACATGAAAAGCCAGGGAGGGATGTCAGGGAGGGGCAGCTTTGCCCCTGGTGGAGCCTGCCTGGGACATGTGTGATGCCATGGAGACTGGACACGAGGGAGCAGACCCAAGGAAGCCTGCTTCGCCCGCCGCTACTAATGCTTCCTGACTGGGCCCTGCCTGCAGCCGCCGCCGCCCCAAGAATCCTTCCCCATGATTTTATCTGCTGCCATATTGTAGCTCCATACAATGTGAATTTGGGTTTTCTTCTTGTTTTGGGTTTTTGTAATAAATGTGTCTGTTCACGTTTAAAAAAAGTTTGAGTAGCTGTATTTACCAATTTTATTTACAATACAAATTATGTTAATTATAACCAACATTATGTAAAATGTTAAGGTATTAAATATGTAACATGTAAAGTAAGTAACATGTTTAACTTTCAAATTTTTATAACTATTTTTGCAGGGCCAGCAACCCAGGTTCTAGCCACTAGGAGTGACTTGCCCTTGGTGACAGAGGGTCCCCATATCTGTCTAGACTGCAGAGCCGAATGCTTTGAGTCCTGGGAGGGGAGGGGAGAGGCTGCAAAAGGGCTCTTGACCTCAGGAACAAGCCCAAAGGACACCAGACAAGGCCAGCTGGTGAGTCTCCCTTCCCAACAAAGCATCTGGATTCCCCTCCCCACCCCGCCCCAAGTCTAGCAGTGGTGGGACCCCATAGATGACAGAGACTGCCCTGGGCAGTCTTCTATGTATGGGGGGCTACATACACATGCCACTGGCACGCTGTGCTGGCAGGGCACTTGCTGGCTGCTCTGCTTTATTCAGGGCGCACAAAGCTGAAGGTGAACCAATAGCTGTTAGCGCTGCGTGGACCTCTCAACTCCCAGCTCCTGCTCTGTCTCTGAGTTCTCACGTCACTGTGGGTCTGATGCCAGAGGAGAGGGTGACGGGGGTGTCCTCCCCACCCCACACACACTTTCTCTGTCCTCACCCTGTGTGCCCCAGGAGGGGCAGGCCTGAGGCAAGCTACCCATGCACTGCAGCTCTGGATGCACGCCTGTGCTGGGGCTTAACCACACTGCCCTGGCTGCCCCTCCCTGTGCTGGGCTGTAGAGCTCAAAGAGGGGTGACCTAAGGGTACACCTGATGGAAGTCCGAGGGAATGTCCCTCAGCCCCGTGCACACCGGGGACTGACCAGGTCCAAGGCTGCCTTCGGACCTGCCCCAGGTGGGTGCTGAAGAAAACAGCTACCTCCTCCAGGTAACCAGCCCCCATCAGCTGTGGTTGACCAGACAGCAGCAAGCCTGAGTGTGTCAGCACGGCCCCATCCTGGGGCTTTTGGGTCCCAGTGGGTTTCCAGGCCTTTCTTCCAAGGCACCTCTAGGGAGACTCAAGCCTCGGGCCTTTCCGTGAACTGAGGCGTCCCTGGTATGGGGTCCACTTGTTCATGATAGACCACGGGGCCAGGGGAGGGGTGGGACTCCTGGGCAGAAGGCAGGCCCGAGGGCTTGGGGCTGGGACAGGAGCTAAGTGTGCAGATCACATCTGAGGTGAATCTGGCCTTGAGAGTGGGGAGCTGGCTTTCAGGGGCTTCCACCTCAGCACCCCCATCCTCAAGTGTGGGTAGGGTGGCAGCCAGGCAGCCTTGGGTGGGGGCGGGGAGATGGCAACGTGTGTTCTTGACTGCAGCCTTCCCTGACTTCAAGCCTAGTGGTTACCCTGCTTGGCCCAGCCATGGAGCATGCAGTGCCTCGCGGACTGGCCAGGCCTGGGGACGTGGCAGAGGTCTCGCCTCGGCAGCCCTACTGGCACCTTCTCCCCACAGTCTCATTGCGCTGAGGTCCATTCAGCTCCAGGGCCTTGCAGATCTAGGCTGGGACAGGCAGGGACATGGAGGTAAGCTTTGCCCAGGGAGGGCAGCGCGTGGGCAGGTTGGATCTGGCCTGGGGGCACCCACTGGAGCCCCGGTCTCTGTGGGGCATGTGGGACCTGGGATTGAGGCAGCAAAAGGAAGGGGTTCCAGACAAGGATCTAACACTGCCCTGTGCACGTGGGCAGCCACAGCCAGACTTGGACCGTCCTCACTCTCAGCCCCACCCCAGGGGGCTGGGCCTTTCAGGACTCAGGGAGAGGCTGGGTGCTGATGGAGGAGAGGGAGAAGCCTGGGTTTTCCCCCTTTGTCCCTCCCTGCTAGCAGGACACTGTACTTGGATTTGCTAGAGGCCCTCCCTGGCTATGCCCCCCAAGTCTGTACAGAACTGGGGATCGCGGGGGGGTTCAGTGAAACTTGGGTCATTTCTGGGTCTCTATGGGGTACTCTGTGAGGGTCAGTTCCCAGGAAGCCATCAACCTTCTTCCTCTTAGTGTGCCCGCTATCTGGAGAGTCTCACCCACATAGCCCAGGCCAGAACACCTGTCACCCTTCCTGACCTAGCGTCCGTGAGCAGGCCCCTCAGCCACCCTGTACCATGCTTGATCCAGCCCCTCCCTCCACATTTCCCAGCCACCCTCCTGCCAGCCATCCTCTGCCCGGCCCCAGCCACTGGCTCTCCCAGCAGCACAGGGCTCTCTCCTCCCAGTATACCCAGGTTCTGTTGAAGACGTCTGGCTGGAAGGCTCTATGCATGTCTGTTTTGCAGAAGCAGGGCCTAGTGACATGTGGTGCTGGCAGAGGCTGGCCTCGGGAATAAGGACCCCTCATCCACTCTCCACGTCACTGACCAGCCAGACACTGCCTGCTGTAGGGCAGGGGGACCCCAGGCGTGGCCTTGCCAGCCTGAGATCCAGAGTTGGAGGGTCGCACTCTGGAGGACAGGGCCACATGGGCCAACCCTCCCTCAGGGTGCAGTGTGGGTGGCCCGCCCTTTCCCTGCCCCTGATGTCCACTCAGCCCACCTTCAGAGGTGGGCAGATGTCAGTCCCCAAAGGCATCCGCTAGGGGTCTCTGTCCTACAGGCAAGTCAGACTCCACATCCCAGGGCTCCTTTTATTTGTCCCTGCCCCACAGGATGGGGGGTGGGGAGTGGGGTTGAGAGGTTTGGGGGGCAGGCGGGGAGAGGCTTCTCAGCAGGAGGAGGTCTGGCTCGGGAAGATCGGCGCTGGCCAGGCTGGGGTCTGTGTCCTGGAGCAGGCTGACGACCCACTGGCTTCCTGTGGGCAGGGCATCAGGGGCCCCACCCATCAGGCCACACTGGTCCCCAAGTCACTAGCGGCACAGTGACTTGGGGTCAAGGGGCGGGGTCTGGTCCTGGGCCCTGGGAGGCCACTCGAGGTCTGCTCTGGCCCCTCTGGAGCGTGTAGGCCGATGGCCCCAGTCGCAGGATCTTCCCGCTGCCCAGGCACTCGCCCTCCTTGTAGAACACAGCGAACTGCAGGACGGAGGCGTCACATGCAGAGGCCGGGGCACGGGCAGGCCCTGCCCACGCCACCCCCTCACCCCACGGCCAACTCACCTGCCCGAGGGTGAGCGCGCGCACGGCCTTCACAGCGGTCACCCACACGGTGCCGTCCTGATTGAGGGTCAGCACGCAAGGCACTGGGGGGCGGGGGGAGGGGAGCGACCTGAGACGGGGGCTCACCGGGGCCCTGGGAGGGAAGCGCACGAGGGCTGCCCCGCCCCGGCCTCCCCCAGGCCCCGCCCGGCGGCGCCTCCAGCTGTCACCTAGCGCCATCTGGTGGCGGAAGCGGAAGTGGCACTCCATCATCCGGTCGCGGACCAGGGCGGCGGGCGGCTCCTCGGCGATCCAGTGCACGCGGCTGGTGCGCAGCAGCTCCCGGAACAGCGCGGGGTGGTCGACGTGGGGCGCCTGCGGGCACACACTCAGCCGTGACCACCGGCCCGCCCTTGGCATGGTGTAGGCCAGGGACATGCTGGGGGAGGGCATGCTGAGGAGCAGACACAAAGGGGCGATGTGGGATATGCGGATGTGGACGGGGAAGCCGATCAAGAGGTCCGGGACTGAGGGGTGAAGGCATGCTGAGGGGTGGGGGGAAACAGGTGTGGGGACATGGATGTGGCGGATGCTGAGATACAGGTGAACATGCTGCAGTGTGGGAGGACTAAGTGTGGGGATATACTGAGGTGGAGGATGCTGAGGAACGGGGAGACACAGGTGTGGGGGAATCGGAGGTGTGGGGATATGCTGAGGGGTGTAGGGACAGGCCGAGGTGAGGAGATGCTGAGATGTGCGGGGCAGTGAAGTAGCAGGGACAGATTTGGGTTGTGGGTTGTCTGGCCTTGACCCATTAGAATGCCAGTGGCATGTCCCTTCAGTGGTGACAACCACAAGCCTCTGCAGACCCTCACTGCCTGATGTCCCGGGGCAGGGGACCTGGTCTAACTCAGAAGCCCCGGGCTAGGGCAGTCGGCAGAGTGATGGCTCGGGGCTTCAAATGCGGAAGGCAGCTGACGGTCTAGTCAGCCATTACTACTGCGCCTTCCGCACTCAGGGCAGGCCCTGTCCCACGGGCCACAGTCCGTGGGTCACGCAATCAACACGAGGTAGGAGGGACGAGAGAGGCCTGAGAGGGCCTGGCCTCAGACCCCTAGGAAAGGAGGAGGAGGCGGCTGCTGCTGAGATGGACCCCCAGCATCACCTCCACCTGGAAAGCAGCACCCAGACCACAACCCCCCACACAAAGATCAGACACACATACACACACCTCCACCTGAAAAGCAGGCACCACTACCACCACATACATACAGACATACATACACACATACACACAGACATACACAGATACAGACATATACACACGCAGACACTGAGCAGGAGCTCATCACCTGAGACAGGACACCGCACTCACCACAAACACGTCCCCCTTGACGCCATCCTTCTCCACCACATACCAAGGCTCCTTCAGGCCGCCGATCCTAGCTCTTTGGCCTAAAGTATACAGGAACCAGCCTGTGGACACACAGGTATGCTGGGAAACTGGCGGCCAGTCCCAGCTCCCACAGGGGGGGCAGCAGGGATCCAGGGGGCAGCCAGTGGCCCTGGGCCTCAGTGCTCATAGAGACCTGAAACCCCCACCCACTACCTGACCCCACCCCGGCAGAGACGCCAGCCTCCTCCTCAGCGTCTGTGCTGCACAGGCAGAGAAACACCCTCAGGAGAACCTAGACGATGCCCTGAGGTCCCCACTGCCCTGGAGACTGCTCCTGCAATAGCCCATGGAGATGAGGCCCGAGGGTCAGCATTTACTTGAAAGCAGAGGTAAGAGGAAAGTCGAGTCCTAGAGACGTTAGCACAGAGCAGAAAGGATGAGAACGGCGACACACTGTCAAAGTCAAAAGTGGAACCGGCACAGTAGATGCATGGTGACATGAACGGATAGAGGGTTGATAGGGGATGCAAGTGTGGGAGCGGGTGATAGGGAGGGAGGGGGGATCTCAGGAGTGGGAAATGGAGACGGGAGCAGGGATGGAACACTAGAACATGACTGCACAACTCGTGTTAATGGTGATTTAAATTGATACGGCAATGATTGTACAATTCTCCCTGATATGAATGAACAATTGGCTTATTGAAGTATATGCTATATAAATTATGTGCCAATAAAATTGCTTTTCAAAAAAATGGAACTGATGTCCCTGAACAGTTCATGTAAGAATGTGTTCCATGGGAGCCTATTTGCTGGGTAAAATTTCACAGAAAACACACTATTTTTTAAAAAAGAGATCCCATCTTGAAAGATGGAGACTTCTAGCCCAAGCTAAGGCTGAACTGCTGAGACTACCACTCAATCCACCGGCTGGCGGATCCCAGGGCCCGGTGCCCAGGCCCACCCACCCACCCATTCAGGGGTCTCAAGGCCTCACCCTGATGCTTGCCCAGGACCTTGTTGTCTTCGATGGAAATAAAGTTCCCAGGCCGAGGCTGCAGATACTGGAAAGCAGAGGGGATTACTGAGCTACCCAGCCCAGGACTCAACCAAGTCCCCACCTCTGCTTCACACACTCACCTGAAGGAGGAACTTCTCAAAGTCTCTCTTACCAATGAAGCAGATGCCCATGCTCTGAAATGAGACAGGGAGTCATGAGCCAGGAGGGCAAGAGGCATTTGAGCACAGTGACTGGCCCAGAGGGGACTGTCTTCAAGCTCGGGGCTCCTCCTCTCCTGGCGTGTCTTATTAGACTTGGACCCTATCACCCACTTCCACAATGTCATGCATATCCACACCTTCAAGTGCATGCCGAGATGAGACCAAAGAAAGACAAGAAATCAACGCTTCAGTGAGCAGGGCGAAGGGATGTCAGGGGAGAAGTGGGGCCCTGGAACTTTCTCCCAGCCCAGGAGGATGGGGCTGTAACAGAACCCGCTCCACTGCTGCCAGCCAGGCGGCTTCATATTGACTGGCTGTGTGCCCCTCTGGAAGGCCGTGGTCTGTCCCACAGACTCCTCAGGTCCCACCACAGTGCACACTTGGAAGCTGAACACGTCACAACCGTGGACTACTGACACTAGTGGATGGTGAGTGGATGCGAAGAGGGTGAATGGAGGGACGGAACAACAGGCAGGTAGGAGGATAGGTAGATGGGTGCCTGCGCAGACAGTGGATGGATGGATGGACGACGGAGAGGTGGGTGGGAAGGTAGGGAGGGGGTTGGGAGGTAGATGGGAGATGGGTGGGTAAATGGGTAGACAGGTAAGTGGGTGGATGACTTCTTCAGGGTCAATGGGCAAAAGGTATGCACTTCCCTGACTCCCCTGTACCATGCAAGTGGTTGATGTACACAGGTAACTAATCAAGGCAGACTGTCCATCATACCTCCTTTTTCTGAAGCACGTGGTGGAGTTTATTCTCAGCAGCTATTTTCTTTACAAAGTCTTTGGTTAATTCCCCCAGAGGGAAGATGGTTCTCCTCAGGGCGTCCTGGGAAACCTGGCTGAGAAAGAAGGTCTGGTCTTTAAAGCCGTCGGCTGCCTGGAGAAGTTTTACCGCTGCCAAGAGCAAAGAACAAGAGACGTGTGGGATAAGTGAGGGGCGCCTGCCTTGACCAAGGTTCTCCAGTTGACCGACTCACCTGCTGCGTCAGACATAAAGGCCAACACTCATGCGCAGCCTGCCGGGGAAGAAGAAACAGAACCAAACAGAACCCGGACACCATACGGGAGCCTCTGACCCTGACTCATCTGAGGAAACCTACTCTGGTTCGCCCTTCATGAGAGCCTACTTCAAAGGTGAACAAGCTCGTGCGAAACCGGCCCGTCTGAAGTGAGGAAAGAATCAACCCTGGCAGATCTGGGGGACCGGCATGATGGGACACCGGCGAGTTTCCTCTAACCTGAGGACCTGTCCATGCGGAAAATGGTTTGTTTAGAGTCCCTGCTGACGTCTGTCAGACGCCCCCTGCATTTTGCTGTGAAGACCATTTTTAGGGTTTGAGGTGACCAACCTTGGCCAAATGGCCGAGGTTCCACAAAGGAGTGACAAGCACAAGGGCAAGGCTCCCTGACTGCTGGCCATGGTATTCCTTGGACAGAGCGCTGGCTGTCCTCTCTGGGGCTCAAGCCTTGATGGAGAGACACCAAGGCACAGCAGCAGCAGCAGCAGGGCCTCTGGAAGCATTTCCTGTCTTTATCACTAAGCGAAGCGGAAGGCATCCTAGTGGTTTAATGGCTAAGTGCTTGGTTACTAACCCAAAAGGCTGGCGGTTCGAGCCCACTAGCCACTGGAGAAAGAGGCAGCAGTCGGCTTCCATACAGACAGCCTAGAAAACGCAGTGGGGCAGCACTGCTCTGTCCAGAGGTCACTATGAGCCAGCGTCGGCTGGGTGGCAATGACGACAGTCTCAGGTGTGGCAGCTGTGTGCAGCCCATGTTCACCAGCTGGGAATGCACTCAAGACTAAGTCCACACCAGCCATGTGGGTGGCGCCATCCTCATTTTACAGATGAGGGCGCTGAGGCTCTGGGTGGAAGACGGTGCTGGACTGAGAGGCCTCTATCACTCTCTATGCACACACAGTGACCAGTCCAATGAGGACATGCATGACCCAGCTTCCAGGTCAGCAGGCCCCTTGAGCGGAGTGCCCAATTCTACCCTCCATTCCAAATGGAGCTCAGTCCCACAGGATGCGAAGTACAAAAACCTTCGACCGCAGGGGACCGTTGGCATGATCTTGTCTTCCAGGGCGGGCCTATGCAGCATCACTGCACACACAGCAGCTCCTCGGCACTCAGAGCCACACAGTCAGGCAGGTGACAGTACCTCACCCTGCCTCAGTGAGGCTCTCTGCCTGGTCCTCTCCAAGGCCCGGCTGATTGCCACCCTGGACGACCACAATGTTTGCCTGTACCTAACAAACATACAGACAGACTGGCAGATAAATGGATGTATCACAATCCACACACCGTGAGCCAGGACCATTGGCAGGGCTCTGTGTGTGTGTGTGCGTGTGTGTGTGTGTAGATGTGGTCACACATCCTCCATCCACTTTGGCCCCTCACATCCAGATACACCTGGTCAATCTGCTGTGCTGTTCTTAAGGGACAAGGCGTTGATTGGAACCCCGGCACCTAGGGAGGGGCTGAGAGAGGGAGAGCGTCCCTACCTACCTAAGTGTCAACACCAGACAGGTGCACAGAGTAGGCATGGGGCAGCCCCAACTCCAGGCTTAAGGCCTGGCATGCAGTAATCTACAGACAGAGGGCAGAAAAACCAGGCCGCAGCCAGTACATATGTGGGAGCCCTCTGCTGTGAGAAGCTCCGCCTTTCTTAAAGAGGGCGAGGCTAGGGAGGGCAGAGGAGGGGAAGAGAGTTGTTGCTCTTGTCCCAGGGTCAGCCCAACCCACTGTGACCCTATGCACAACAGCACAAAACCCAGCAGGTCCCGGGCCAGCCTCCCAGAGGCTCCTGTGCCTCAGCCCATTGTTGCAGGCACAGTGCCCATGCACTCATTGAGGGTCTTCCTCTACTTTCCCAAGCAGGATGTCCTTCACCTGGGATTAGTCTCTCGTGACAAAACGTCCAAAGTATGTAAGACCAAGTCTCTCCATCCTCGCCTCGAAGGAGCGTTCTGGCTGTCCTTCTGCCAAGACAGGTTTGTTCCTTTGGCGGTCCATGCTACTTTCGGTATTCTTCGCCAGCACGAGAATTCAAATGCTTCGATTCCTCTTCAGTCTGCCTTATTCAATATGCAACTTTCACATGTATATGAGGTCACTGATAATACCATGGCTTGGGTCAGGTAATTCTCAAAATAGCATCATTGCTTTAGTTCTTGTATAGCAGATTGACCCAATGCAATACTTTGATCTCCTGACTGCTGCTTTCATGAATGCTGGTTGTGAATACAAGCAAGACAAAATCCTTAACAACGTCAACCTTTTCTCCATTTTCCTGATGCTACCTATTGGTCCATTTATTATGAAGAATTTGGTTCTCTTTACATTGAGTTGCAATCTGTACTGAAGGCTACAATTCTTGATCTTCTCAACAAGTGCTTCAAGTCCTCCCACTTTCTGCAAGCAAGGTGTATCATCTGCACGCCACAGGGTGTGAGTAAGCCTTCCTCCAATCCTGACACCACACTCTTCTTCATAGAATCCAGCTTCTCTATTGAGCTGCTGTGCATACAAACTGAGTAAGTATGGTGAGAGGATACAACTCTGACACACAACTTTCCTGAGTTTAAACCATGCAGTGTGTGTTTGTTCCATGCACAAGTTCCAAATGAGCAGTGAAGTGTTCTGAATTCCCATTCTTATCAAGAGTGATCCACAGGGTCGAATGCCTTTGCATAAGTCAATAAACACAAGTGGGTATCTTTCTGGTGTTCTAATATCAGGAATGTATCCCTTGTTCTACATCATCTTCTGAATCTGGTCGGAACCTCGGGCAGTTCCTTTTCAAGGTACTGCTGCAACCGGTGTTGGATGATCTTAAGCAGTGATATTGATGAAATTGTTCTATAATTTGATCTTTCAGCTGGGTCACCTCTCTTTGGAATGGGTACAAATATGCATCTCTTCCAATCCAGTGACCAAGTAGATATCTTGTAAAATTCTAGCATAGATCAGCAAATGCTTCCAGTGCTTCATCGGCTTGTTGACAAATTTCTATTGGTATTCCATCAATTCCTAGAGCTTTATTCTTGGCTAATGCTTTCAGTGTAGCTTGACTTCTTCCTTCAGTACTTTTGGTTCTAGCTTACACGCTACCTCTTGAAATGGTAGAAAGTTAGCTAGTTCCTTTCGGTACAGTGGTTCTGTGAATTCTTTCCATCTTTTTTGCTGCTTCCTGCATCATTCAATATTTTTTCCACAGAATCTTTCAAGACTGCAAACCTCAGGCTTGCATTTCCTATTGAGCCCTTTCAGTTTACGACACGCCGAGTGTGTTCTTCTTTTCTGGTTTTCTGACTCGGGGGCTGTGCACATTTCACGATACTATTTTACTTTGTCTTCTCAAGCTGCCCTTTGGCATTTCCTTTCCAGAGAAGGAGGGCAAGAGGGAGGGACGCTGAAGGGAGAGGAATGGAGCAGGAGGAAGAAGAGGACAAGTGAGAGCTGGGGAAGGGGAGCCTGGGAGGAGAAGACAAAGAGACAAACCGGGACATGGAGGCCAGAAGCTACGGCACCCTGGCTGGGGACCGGGTGTGGCTGGCAGGGCACTGCTGCCCCCACTGGGCTTAGTAACTGGGAATGAAGCCCTCTGCAATGTCAGGTTCAGCATACGGGCCAGGTTCAAACCCAGCTCTCTACCTGTGGTACAAAGGACTACCCAAGCCTCCATTTCCCCATCTGCAAATGGGCAATAGCAGGTGTACCTGTATGTGCTAAGAGCACTGAAATGACACAAAGGCCCAAAAGCCCCCAGCCTCTACTGGAGCCTCACTGGGGCCGGGGGCCAGGCCCAAGTCAGCCATTGATGACCAGGATGGACCTGGAGCAAGGCTTCAGATGGCCCTGTGCCCATCCTATCATGACAATCACATGGGCTTGCATCACCCCCACCCGCCCCACCCCCAGCACCACCCCGGCACACCAGGCAGCCAGCAGGGGCCCAGTTCCCTGCTCGGCATTTACCTTTTTCTAGAAGGGAGACACCGCTCCCCAGCATTTCTAACCCCAGCTGTCACTCACAACAGGGGCTGTCACCACCACAAAGCCCGACTGTAAGACCCGTGCTGGGGATGCCGGATCCCATGACACCCACTAGACTGCAGGACACCTGACCTCATGCCTCTAGAATTCTACCACAGGGGCCAGGCTGCGTACACCTGCAGGCCCGGGTGCTACTGTCAAACATCTCCTCAAATGCCCCTGAACCTTCACCTCACTGACGAGACAACTGCATATCAACTGGGACTGTGTTTTCCACTAGCCCCGCCCTGGCACCTACTTCTGTTCCCAGTCACAGAACCTCAGGGACCGCAATGCTCCTTGGGAAGGACTTGTCAGCCGTGAAACCACACCCGCTCCGTGGAGAGAGACGGCACTGCTGCTCAGGTTACACCCTCTGCGCGGCTGTAACTGTGTCCACAGGACAAAGGCTCTGGCCTGGCCGTGTGACTTACCGTTTCTAACTTCAAATCGATTTCTGAAAAGCCCTTCTGGCCTCTTAATGTACTTCTGCTGGAAGACTTCCTCATCCTCCAGGGATGTCCGTGCATAGTGACCTGTGGCCACAGCATCAGCGCCTGCAGAGTTGGAAGCACAGGGCCAGGCGTGAGCCTCAAATTCACTGGCCTTGGTTGACACAAGCCATAGGCAGGTGGACGGTCACAGCTGCTGTGAAAAAGAGGCAGGCCTTCGACAAGATGGGGAGGGTGGCGCAGGGCTCCCTTCTGCAGTGCACTGGGTCGCTAGGGTCAGAACCGAGCCTACGGCACCTAGCAACAACGATGGTTTGTATCCGCAAACTGACTAAAACCAACCGGACAAGTCTCAACACTTCTGAGGGCAACATGGGGAGGCCGCTCTCTCTCTACTCTTGCTCTGAGCAGATGAAAACCACCAGAGGTTCCTGCTTCTCTGGACGACATGCAGAACACCCACGTGTTCGTGGCTCCCTGGCCTCCGGAAAGGAGGTGTTTGCCCCTCGTTATCTCTGATGACCTGTTATTGAAACCAAAACAACAACAAACATCGCTCTCAGTTACTTACCAAGACTGTTCACAGCATAATGGAAAAAACAACTGAACTTGATGTGCTTGTTGCAAACTACGTCAGGGTTGGGGGTCCTTCCTTTTTCATACTCGTTCAAGAAGTCACTGGGATAAAACAGAAAAGCAGCAAACAATGAGCATGTCTGGGTGCCAGACAGAGCACACACGCACACACGCGCACACAGACCAGTTAGTCACATCACTTCCTTAAAGGCTCTCCACGCCCTAGCAAGACTGCAATTTCCTTTCTGCA